AACACCTTCCCTTTGACCCAAAGAATCCAAAAGGCAGCAGTTGGCCTTTGCGTATCGCTGTCACCTGCCATCTTAAAACGACCTCCTCAGTTGACCCCAATATACACCAGTTTACTTAAGCCTGTTGAAAGTCTCCTCCTGTTTGCTCTGAAAGGGCTTAAAATATAAAAGCCTTATTTGTCATTGCTCTTAAAACCCCCCTTTTCATTTTTGGACAAGAACGCAGTTTATCACATCTTATCAACTTACTGTCCAAGATGGCCGTCGCTGATACTGAGTGCCCCATCCTGCCTTTACTGGGACACAATTTGTCTAATTCACAGTATCTGCGGTAGAAAAATTAGCAGCTTTAAAGGCACCACTGTAATAATAATAGTTCCAATAGACCCACCCACCATGTGCTCAAACTGCTAGGGAAGGTCTCTGCAGCCCAGGAGCTTTCTTCTGTCTTCTTCCCTCTCCAGGACTATGGGTTGGCCTTGACCACTTTTTGAATTTTCTTGCTCATTGGCCTTCGTGCCACATTTTCTCAGCTTCGCCGTCTCCGTTGATCATTCCTTCTGTGCCTCTTGTGTCTCTTCTTATCCCTTCCAAAAATTCAGTACATGTATTCATTTGTTTTACACACACACACACACACACACACACACACACACACACACACGTGTGTGTGTGCCTCTTTCTTTCCTGTGCCTCTTTCCTGTGTCAGGTTCTTTTCTAGGTACTGGGGATATGGGGTTGAATGAGAAACCACAGTCCCTGTTGTAGACGTTCATGTGCCCAGGAGAGACAGTAACTGAGTACCTAAATAATGATTTAAGGCAGGTGCAGTGGGTCACACTTGTAATCCCAGCACTTTGGGAGGCCAAGGAGGGTGAATCACTTGAGGTCAGGCGTTCGAGACCAGCCTGGGCAACATAGTGAAACCCCATCTCTACTAAAAATACAAAAGTTAGCCAGGTGTCATGGTGGGCACCTGTAGTCCCAGCTACTCGGGATGCTGAGGTAGGAGAATCACTTGAACTCAGGAGGCAGAGGCTGCGGTGAGCCGAGATCACACCTTTTGCACTCAAGCCTGGGCTACAGAGCAAGACTCCATCTCAAAAAAAAAAAAAAAAGATTTAAAAAGGGTTACCATGGAGACTTAGGGGAGCAAAGAGGGCACAGGTAACTGGAGGACAACAAAGAGTTCCTTGGGAAAGTGCCACTGACACTGAGTTTGGGGGATTTACTAGACCAAGGGTGGGGAGCTCTTGGATGGAAAGGATAGCACATGTAGAAGCTGGGAGGCAGGGCCCTTGCCTTCTGCATCGGCCTGTCGCAGGCAGTGAAGACACCCAGGGTAGCTGGAGCACAGCACGCAGAGTGTGCCTGCAGGGTTGCAGGGCCAGGCTGTGCAAGGCCAAGTCCGCAAAGTTTGGATCTTGATTTCAGCCATTGGAGGGTTTAAGCAAGGAGGTCACCTGACCTGCTTTACATTCTAAAAAGCTTGCTGTAGCTCCGTCTCGGAGCACGGACAGACCCCTCACCACTGGGCTCCGAATCAGGGATGGTAGCGGCTGCGGGTGCCTCGGGGCCTCTTCCCTGGGACTTCAAGCTCGGGGTGTAGAAGCTAAAACCAGATGTGTGCTTTCCTCTTCCCCATCAGTTGCTGTTGTTGCTGTTGTTTTCCTTGTCCAGTCAGTCATCGATGGGCACTTGGGTTGGCAGTTGTTCTTGATTTCTCTGTTCTTGTCACTTGTTCTGCTGTTCTCATAATCACCCCAGTTTGACAATTCATGGTCACTGTACCGGCCTCTGCTCTGGGCCATCAGAGCCTCAGTGTGGAGCCTGCCTTGCTGCACAGAGAGCTTCTAGGCCCACGTGTCCTCCCAGCTGTGATCTTGCTGGAGCCTCAGGAGCACTACCTCTTCCTCAAACACCTCTCATCCTCTCCCGTATCTCCTCAGCTGTCAGCCCCTCCCTCTCAACTTAAGGTAAGCCCAGGCCCTGGAGTGCCAGGGATTGCCCTCTCACCCCACCCCAGCCTGTGCTTGCCTCCTCATTCCCATCATCTTCTCCTGATGTTGCCTAGCAGAAGCCTTCACCCAGCCAGGAACAAATCTTCAACCAAACACCATATAGGCACGAGAATAACCAAGAACTTGTGATGCTCCTGCCCAGGGGAGCTTTTGGCCAACCTGGAGATGTTTCTGGAGGCAGAAATCAGTGAAAAGATTTGTTCTTCTGCCGGGAGCGGTGGCTCATGCCTGTAATCCCGGAACTTTGGGAGGCCGATCACCTGAGGTCAGGAGTTCAAGACCAGCCTGGCCAACATGGTGAAACACCATCTCTACTAAAAGTGCAAAAAATTAGCCAGGCATGTGGCAGATGCCTGTAATCCCAGCTGCTCAGGAAGCTGAGGCAAGAGAATTGTTTGAATTCGGGAGACGGAGGTTGCAGTGAGCCGACATCACACTCCATCCTGGGGGGCTAGAGTGAGACTTTGTCTCAAGGGAAAAAAAAAAGAAAAAAAGATTTGTTCTTCTGCTTCTGGCAAGAAGATGGACTAATATAGTCACACACACACACACACACACACCCCTACCCCTACCTTCTTGCTGCAAGCATCTTGAAATGTTAGGTAAAATAGTGTAAACCCATCCACAAATGTTAATGCATAGCTAAATTTACAAGGAAGAAAGGAAATCCCTAGATGAAAAGACATGAAGAGAGCATTGAAAGCCAGCACCTAAGTGGATGAACTGCTGCAGCTGGGTCATTATCAGTCACTGTGATGGAGAGCAGGAGCTAGCAAGTCCCTGGAAAAAGCCAGGTCGTAAATGGTTTAGGCTGTGCAGACCATAGACGGTGTCACATCTCCTTTTACTTTTTTGATGACCCTCTACAAATATAAAAAACTATTGTTAGCTCATGGGTTGTACAAAAACAGAGCACAGCCAGATTTGGCCCATAAACCAAAGTTGGCAGAGCCTTAAGGATAGACTAGGCTTGAGGTTTTCACCTACAAGAACACGGAGAGAAACCTTGGGTCCCCAAGAGAAGCATCTCTCAAAATTGGATCATCAGAGAAAGAGCCAGTATTAGAAAAATTCACCCACAATCACAGGTAGATGACAGAGAAGCTTGCCATACTTTTTGTATGAGATGGAGTTTTGCTGTTGTTGTACAGGCTGGAGAAGTGCTGTGGTGCAATCTCGGCTTACTGCACACTCCCAGGTTAAGTGATTCTCCTGCCTCAGCCTCCCTGGTAGCTGAGATTACAGGTGCCCACCACCACACCAGGCTAACTTTTTTTTGGTATTTTTTACGGGGTTTCACCATGTTGGCCAAGCTGGTCTCGAACTCCTGACCTCAGATGATCCACCCACTTTGGCCTCCCAAAGTGCTGGGATTGCAGGTGTGAGCCACCACGCCCACCCACTTGCCACACATTTTTAAGTCTTCTCAATATTCAACACCATGGTGCCATGCCCACATGGGTTGAGCTTAAGATTTACACTACCTGATCCACATTGAACCCTGAGGATCTGTGGAGGGGATTCAGGAAGTCTGTGAACTTGGAAGAAAAAGCAAATTTCCCTCTTTTTTGAGATGGAGTCTTGCTCTGCCTGTCACCAGGCTTGAGTGCAGTGGAACGATCTTGGCACACTGCAACCTCCACCTCTTGGGTTCAAGTGATTCCCCTGCCTCAGTCTCCCAAGTAGCTGGGACTACAAGTGTGCACCACCACGCCTGGCTAGTTTTGTTTGTTTGTTTGTATTTTAGTAGAGACAGGTTTTCACCATGTTGGCCAGGATGGCCTCAATCTTCTGACCTTGTGATCCACCCACCTCAGCCTCCCAAAGTGCTGAGCCACTGCACCCAGATGTGAGCCACTGCACCCAGATGTGAGCCACTGCACGTGGCCGCAGATTGCACTTGTATTTTCACAAATGTCTGAATGAAATTTAGCATTTTCTTTGCTGACGAACTTAGGCCACAGACTACAGTAGGATTGAGCAGTCCTGATGGCCACGTGACCATGTGACTCTGCACGTGTGGCTCTCCCTGTTACTTTCTGAAGCATTTTCATGGACCTCTCCTCTTCTGCTCCCCACCTCCCTCCTGGAGCCTTGGCAGCTCAAGGACTCTTGAGTGAGCAAACCTTTCTTGAGTGCTTACTTGGCACTAGGCACGCCACACCTATGCTATGCTACACCTTGTTGCCACTGGTACCTGGCGTGTGGCAACCACTCATTGGTAACTACTGGGCAAATGAACATGGGTGACAGTCAGCTCATTGCCTTGAGGGAGGGCTGCGTTCTTTGGGGCCCACTTCGTCAGCATCAGGTGGAGAAACAGGCTATGGTCAGTCCAGATGCACGACCCGGAGGAGGCAGGGCAGGGTTGGCAGGCAGAGCTGGACCCAGCGTGGTGCTGGCTGGGAAGGCCCGTGCTCTCCAGCCAGAAATGTCAGGAAATGAAACCAGAAACTACTCGCAGAAAAAGTATATATTAAAACGAGCACCTCTGTTCATGAATGTTTTTACACATGGGTGACATAAGGATCTTGGACTCAAGAAGACAAAGTAAAGCCCTTTGGAGAATGGAGAACTGGGTTCTAGAATGCAGCTCCTAAGCCCTTTGCTTTATCAATGCTTCATCAATGCATAATCTGATTGGGTAGTGAGGGTGGCTGCTGTCAGCAGCTTCCACCCTCCCCTGTGGTCCAGGGTATGCACAGATGCTAGAGTCAGGGGCATAGCAGGCACCTCCGCCTGGCCTGAGTGTAGCCTGGAGAGGCCTGACCACACCAGGCCCCTCCTTCTGCACTCACCATCCTGCAAAGCCAGAGCTGGGCAGCAGCCTTGCCCCAGGTTGCTGACCACCCCTCTCCGCCTCAGAGTACAAGGCTCAGAGGGAGCTACATCCCTCTGATGCTCTGCAGACACTCAGAATGTGTGAAGCGCCTCTGGTAGGAATCATTAAAAGAGGTATTTTCTGCTCCTCTTTTTCAGGAATGATCATGGTGATTTTACTGCTGCTTGTGGCTATTGTGGTCGTCGCAGTCTGGCCAACCAACTGATGGCGGTAAAGAGACCATCAGCCGTGACACCTGCCAATGACAGATGAAAAGCTAGCACCCTTTTGGTATGCAAAGCCTGCCCTCAATAAATTCCCCCAAAGCTCCGAACTCTTGTGCATTGCTTCTGTAAAGACTCAAAGCTCTGGAAAGCCGCCTAGTGCACCGGGCTCAATATGGCCCTTTGGGTTTTGACTTTGGTCATTTCGGTGCTAGCCAGGGGTCCCTCAAGGTCCCTGCTTCATGGCTGCCAGTGGATTGTGGCCATCTGGCAGTACTCTGGGCATCCTGGGGACACCAGATAAAGAGGCAGTTTGAAGCCTTGATGTCTGGCGTGCTTGTGGAAGCCACGTGTCTGTGTAGGAAATGGGTGTATATTCAGGGCCCCGTGTGTCCAGGTAATGGGGAAGGAGGTAGGTGACAGGTGTGCAGAGGAGCCACCGAGACCTGTGTCTGAGTGTGTAACTGCCACCCCACCAAGCTCAGCACTCCTCCTCGTGGAGCCAGCTGCCACTTCACAAAAGTATTTCTGGACTCTACTTTGGGAACTGCCATCAGCCCTAGAAGCACATTCTTTTTCATTTCCTTGGTGACAGTTGACTCTCATCTTTCAAGGCTGACATATCTTTATAAGCAAGTGGGGCAGGAGGTGGTCTGGCTGGAGAGCACTGTAGAGGGTTCAGAGGGGGGAGATTACAAAGTCAGGAGAACACGCTGTTATTTGGCACCTCACCTGGCTCTGACCGCCCTGTGTGAGAGTGTGCACAGTCTGTGTGTCTCAGAAAGGGCAGACAGATGGGGAAGGCCTGCGGAGGATGCCAGGTCCAGGGATGGCTGAGTTCATGTTAGCAGGGGCCAGGGGGCCAGGCACCATGTGCTCTCTCTTAACCACATGAAAAGCAGGCTGGGCCAGCTGACCTTGTTCTCCCCTCCTTGAGAAAAGTGGAAAGAATTAGGGTTGATGATGGGTGATTTCCAAAGCACAAGATTTCACTGAGAAGAAGGTAGGGGATTCACAGGCAGGTGAGTTTCTTGCAGATTAGCTCATGACCTAAGCCACGCGGTGGCTCACATCTGTAATCTTAGCACTTCGGGAGTTCAAGGTGGGCAGATCACAAATTCAAGAGTTCAAGACCAGCCTGGCCAACGTGGTAAAACCCCATCTCTACTAAAAATACAAAAATAAGCTGGGCATGGTGGCGTGTGCCTGTAATTCCAGCTACTTGGGAGGCTGAGCTAGGAGAATTGCTTGAACCAAGACCTGGGAGGTGGAGGTTGCAGTGAGCCAAGATCACACCATTGCACTCCATCCTGGGCTACACAGCAAGACTCCATCTCAGAAAAAAAAAAAAAAGGGCATTACCTGAAACCCCCTGTGGACAGAGACACCAGAGAAAGAGCCATGTGTCCCATTTCCTAGGGACTGAGGGCTCCAGGGGTGCGAGGAAGACCTGGGGTCTGGGAGTCCAGACTGCTGCCCAGCTCTGACCCAGGCTGATGGGAAAGCCACTGTGGTCTCTCTGGCAAAGGATAAGGGAACTCTGGAAGCACTCACCCCAGCAGTGAAATGTGCAGCCCAGAAGCAAACCCATCACCTTCTGCTCACGGCTCACTGTCCACACCTCTGCTCATACCTCACTTGGCCAGAACTCATCACCTGGCCTGCTCAACCACAAGAGGACCAGGATGTGTCCAGACGGCCAAAGCCTGAAATATGCAGTGAATGGCCCTAATGAGAACCACACCACTTACCAGCTCATGAGCATGGGCAGGTCTCCTTCCTCTGCCTCTGTTTCCTTGTCTAGGACATGGAGGTGAGGTTTCCTTCCTATTCGCAGAGTTGCTGTGAGGACAGCGTCAGTTGGCACACACAAACACAGAGCGCCCTGCTTGGCTCCACTAAAAAGTTTCTTCCCCAATCCAAGTCTGAGCCCAGTGGGCCAGACACCTCCAGGTCCACAGCTCAGGGTCCTATCACCTGTTTCCACCTAGTGCAATAGGACAGACTGTTGTGAGGATGTGAGCATGAAGCAGGGCCCTGGAAAACGCTCTCCTGTCTCTTTTGAGCCTGATTCCTGCTTCCAGGAGCTGCCAACACAGGCAGACCCAGGCTAGCCTTGGGATGTCGAGGCCGTCGAAACAGTTAGCAGAATGAAACGGGCGGTGTCCAGACAGGAGGTGCAAAGGGCTGAGAGGGTGGAGAGCAGGGGAAGCACTGAGGATGAGCCCTGCTGCCAAGGACCCGGATTGTCACCGGAAGGAGAGGGAAGGGAAGCAGGTTAGTGGTAGGTGTGTGTGTTCCTGAAGGAGAGGGGCCACGCTGGACAGGGGCCCAGGGCTTTTGGCTGGTAAGGGTCCCTGGGACGTACCTCCTCGTCAGGGTGGGGTGGTTGCTAATGGATCATCCAACGGAAGATCAAGAATCTGCAGAGCCTCATCTTCCAGTCTTGTGCGAAACCCCAAATCTCTACAAATAGCGTCTCCTTGGAGGGAGCCCCCACTTTGGGGCTCAGGGGAGGCAGCATTGACAGTCTGTTTGACTTTCTCACCTCCTCTTGACTTGCACAGCACGGAGCTGGGGCATCTTTGAACCAGAGCCATGGAGTCCTGGCTCAGTCAGACTGAAAGACCTTTTCAAGCAAAACACTGAGCTGATGTCTGCACACAGCAGTTTCTGTTCTTTTGGCTGAATGGGCTCTAGGCCCGACCCCAGCACTGCTAGCTAAGTGACCCTGGGCAAGTTACTTCACTTCTCTGGACCCACAAGCAGGGCTGACCCAGGAGGTCAGAATGCAAGGACCTGCCATCCAGCTTTTGGGCTAAGCAGGACACACAGGGTGAGGATGGGCAGGTAGGAAAACCCTGGCTCCCCCTAGTCTTCCTCATGGGGTGGGTGTCATGTGAGACCCCCACCCCAGCCAGGCCAGAAGTGGCAAGCATACTCAAGTGGCCGGGATGTGTCCCTCTGAGTAATCTGTTGCCTCAAGAGCCACCCTAGAGAGCATGGCTGATGTAAAGGTGGCATTTTCCTCCGTGGTTTGTGAGACTTGGCATTTCCCCCCTTAAAGCTGCCAGGACCACAGTCCCTGGTGACCTGCAGTGAATGCTTTGGAGTTGGCTAGGCAAGGCTTAAGCCCTCACCCCCCAGCACAGAGAAGAGAGGCAAGGCCAGGCGTGGTAGCTCACGCCTGTAATCCCTGCACTTCAGGAGGCTGAGGCGGGTGGATCACCTGAGGTCGGGAGTTCAAGACCAGCCTGACCTATCTCTACTAAAAATACAAAAATTAGCCGGGCGTGGTGGCACATGCCTGTAATCTCAGCTACTCAGGAGGCTGAGGCAGGAGAATCGCTTGAACCCAGGAGGCAGAGGTTGTGGTGAGCCGAGATCTTGCCACTGCACTCCAGCCTGGACAACAAAAGCGAAACTCAGCTTCAAAAAAGAGAGGCAAGGCAAAGCCTTAACAGCCACCACCTAGGGTGCCTTTTCAATGAAAATAAATGTGATTAAAATAACAGTATAAGTCCTGTTTAACTTAACCGATTATTAATTATAAGCATTTTAACTCCAGATACCATATAAAGAAATCCAGATACGTGGGTACAGCTGGTATTTTTGTTCCATTTAAACTTCATTTTTATTAGTAACTGTAACTAGACCTTAGCTGTCATGAGCCCCAAGACAATCAGCTCCTTTCAAAACCCACAGGGCCCCCACCTGGACACGGCTTCCACCAGTCATTTGTAGTTTTGATAGAGAAAATCCTTTCTCTGCTGCCTGCAGCCTTCCACCTGGCTGGGACTGGGCTTTCTCTGTGAGCTAGATCCCTGAAACTCCTCTTCTACAATGCTGATGGAGGTTCCCATGGTCCCTCTTCAAATACTGCCAGGCTCCCTCTGCCTAGTCAGAGAAAACTGCTGGCTGGCCAAACAGCCACATTTTTCCTCCTAGTCGGGAAAGAGCACCTTAGCCTCTTAGAATCCTATCCCCTGCTTCTTGAGGTTCACAGTGACACCGATATCTTAAACAGGGACTAGTTAAGGATCATGTCTTAGCTAGTTGGATTTTCTAACCCAGCGCTGATGAAGCTAAGTGGGTTTTTGCCCCTTATTTGACCAAGACCTACCTTTCCTCTGATTGCTTCCTACAGTTTCACAGACTTCTTCCCAACTACATGCCAATGACAAAAGACATTGACCTCTTTCCAGAAATGACTCGTCGCCCCGCTGAGGCTTGTCTGATAAAGCAGCAGTGTAATCCGTCCATGGCCTCTGTTTCTTACTGGCTTCGTTATTCTTTTCATTCCCCATTTTTCTTGGCCTATTTCTTGTATGTCTTTATTTGATTTTAAGAAGAGCAGAGAAAGAGATGTCTGTTCAACAACATCTGAAACCTCCAGGTTTGTCTGCCACAAGTGGGCATCCCATGCCAGGGTGCTGTCTCTGGGAGGTGGAGGGGAACATGCAGGGAGAGCCTTATGAATGACTGAGCCTCCCTAATGGCAGCTTCAATGGCCGGGAGGCCCCATGAAGCTCTGACACAGGGTCCCTGCCCACACACCATCAGGCATTTCTGACTGGGTGGCACTGGCTTCTGGGTCCCTGGTGGTGATCACCCAGCTTCCTTGTGACTCAGTATTCCAGTCTCTAAAATGGGCTTTTCCCGTTACTTGGGCCAGTCTTAGTAGCAACCCAGCTTATTTCCTGCATTGAGTTTGGCAGATGCCCTCTCTCCCCAACTTGAGCACAGGGCCCTGGGAGGCAGAGGGGCTGTTGACAGTAAACGTCCCGATGTGTCACTGAGCAATGGTGGGTTTCCTTCAGGCCTCGCGCTGCAGCCACCCTCACAGGGCCTGACTGTGGTGGTGACAGCCTGAGTCTGTCACCCAGGCTGGAGTGCAGTGGTGTGATCTTGGCTCACTACAACCTCCGCCTTCCGCGTTCAAGCAGTTCTCTGCCTCAGCCTCCCATATACGTGGGACTGCAGGTACCCACCATCATTCCTGACTGATTTTTGTATTTTTAGTGAAGATGGGGTTTCACCATCTTGGCCAGGCCAGTCTTGAACTCCTGACCTAGTGATCGACCCACCTCGGCCTCCCTGAACCACTGTA